ACGATTTCTCGTGTTCTTCATTTTGATGCTATGTTTGTAATGAACTGAGCATTTTCTTTTAGGGAAATGAAACCTTGTATATATTTATTTTGAATTTCCAGATCTTTGATCTATTTGTCGTTCTTTGATTATGTTTATGTTTTCATGTATTAAATGTTTTCGATTGTTTGGCCAACGGTTGAATTGATTGTAAATGGGAATGAACTCGAGAGAGGATTTTTCGTTTGATTTTAGGAAAACATAGCTCGGGTTGTGGAAACGGAGACGTGATGCAGCTCGGGTAACCCTTAAGGACTTGACCTAAATGCTCTCTTAATATCAGGTTCTGAACGGAGACGTCGGACATGTGGGTAGACTCTAACTACACTGGAGACGGGGGTTAGGGTATTTTAGTGTCTAGGTTAGCGAATATAGAATTGACATTAGATTCGGATGTTTTTATCTTTATCGATAGTACACTTTTTCCCAAGAAGCCATCACACGTCTGAATTCCTTGCTTATCCTGGCGGACCGTTGTTTTTATTTCTTGTTTCTTTTTAAGTTTCATTTCTCCCATTCTTTTGTTCATCTAGATAATGTTTAGGATAGTATCATCACGGTACTTGGTAAATTTAGGAACTTAATTCCCTGTTGATGGATATATGGAATTCACTATTCTACAAAACTCGATATTGCACACTTCTGGTTTTTGATACGTAGGTTTTACGCGTATCACTAGCCGTGGATCCACAACCTTTTGTGATTCAAATAATCATTTATTTAATTACTGACTCGTTTGTACCAATTGTCCCGATTAAGATCAAAATATATTTTAATGTTTATCACCTATCATATCGATTAATGGCCAACGAATCATGATTGACGTCTAGCAACTACGTGTCATGATTCCCTAGATACAAATGAAGTCCCTGCAAGAACCTTAACTGTAGTTTGCGTACAATAGGGTCCCTTTGACAAAAAATATGTCCCGGTCGAACTAGAGGCATTGGTTCACCGAGATCTATAATATTTTTCGATAATTATGCGATTGTTCCAAAACTGTAAACTTCATTCATATGTGACTTAGAGAAACCATTTTCTCTAACCATTTCACTTTCTACTTCTGCCGAAGATTCCTTGGACAATATACTTGAAAAACACATAGGACATCCACGAAATTAAGAAAGCGGTCAAATCCCTAATTACAATGACATACTCCCATCAGATTTCGGTATATGTGAATGTTGGCCCTTGAAACGGTCTTCGAGGAGACTCACGGACAAGTCACAACACAACTGGTCGTCTAATGAAGTCGCAGTGATGCATTATGTCCTAAGAACTAATGGTGTATAACTATAATCATAGAACCTCTACTCGAGTAAAGGGAACCACTTAGAGATTCTAGGACGAGAGAGTTCAGTGAACTCATCGACTATGAGCACCCACTCATGTATGCCAATGTCACTACATTGTAGTTGATGAGACTCAACTCACATACACTAAGTGCTAGTCTCAAATTGGAGAGGCTGCTATCATAATGAAACATGGCTGACTCTTCTATGTCGCGCAGTTGCAGTCATAGAATGATGATCTGGTCGATCGACAACAACCTCGAGCTCTCCTGAAGGTCGGATCACAATCCTAGGAACCTTTTCCTTTCCCTTCCCAAGATCAACTATAAGTACCCCCACCATGCCTTACCATCTGTGCAAAAAGCAATTGAAAATAAATTAATTAACAAATAAATATATATATATATATATATATATATATATATATATATATATAACCTTCAAATAATTTGAAGGTTACGTCTTCTACAGAATGAAGCGTTCAAAATCTTTGAAGGTTCCGTAATGTACAAAACGAAACATTCAAGATTTTGAAGGTTTTGTTCTGTAGGGGATGCACCATTCAATTTTTTGAAGAACGGGGACGAAACATTCAAATTTTTGAAGGTTTCGTTCTGTGGAAGACAAAACATTCAAAATCCTTGAATGTTTCTTTATGTACAGCACGAAACATTCAAATTTTTGAACATTTCGTTCTGTAGAAGACGAAACATTCAAAATCCTTGAATGATTTATTTCTATACAGCACGAAACCTTCAAAGATTTTGAACGTTTCGTCTTCTACAGAATGACACCTTCAAAAACTTTGAATCTTTCATCCTCCACAGAACGAAACTTTCAAAGATTTTGAAGGTTTTGTTCTGTAGAAGACGAAGGTTACGTTCTGTAGAAGACGAAATCTTTAAAAAATTGAAGATTTCGTTCTCTACAGCACGAAAACCCCTAGTATTTTGAAGGTTTTGTTCTCTACAACACAAAACCTTCAAAATTCTAGGGATTTTTGTGTTGTAGAGAACGAAACTTCATATGTTCAAATAATTTTATTCAACGAAACCCTAAACCTAATCGTATACCTACATTTGATAACTAATTCGTAAGTAAATGGATTGAAACGAAGTTACAAAAAATTATTGTGATCGAGATTAGTAAATGACGGATTGAATGCCGAGAGTTTGGATGTTTAAAGAGAGTTTGAAAGAACTTTGAAACAAAAAAAAAATTAAAATGATTAATATCCCACTCCGATCAGTAAAAGTCCCGCTGCAAATAGCAAGCCCCTATGTAAAACTACTAGAAGTTAGAGGATATTCCTATCGTTCGATTAAAGCATCTAAAATATTTGAAGTTTCCTATTAATTTAGGTCAAAGCCATGTAAAACTATTAGATGGTGGGATGTTTTCAATCCCCACTATCTCGCTCAGTATAAATAGGAACCATATGTCATTTGCAAAATGTATTATAATCGTTTATATTTATAATTTTATAACTATTAAATTTTCACATACCTTACTATTTAGTTAATCTTGACTAATCTACTCAACCAAACGGAGCCTTATACTATGCTTTTTCAAGAAAATATTAACTTATTAATTAAATTTATAAAATACAATAAGATTTGCAAGAAAATATTAACTTATTAATTAAATTTATAAGACAATAAGAACGTAAAAAGTGGACGGTGAAATTTTGCAATCTGGGTATATCACAAAGTTATTATATCTTTCATCAAAAAGTTCTAGTTCTTATATTATCGGTAAGCAAAAAATGTTTGATATTAATATTTAGGGGTCTTAAGATATAGATCCCTAGTGACAAAACTAATTAGAACTAAATCACAAGCTCTACTAAACATTTGCTTCACATCATTTATTAAATTCATTCCAAAAATGCCCTTTCACTCATGTTTATTTTTTCAATTTTCACTATGCATTTTTTACATTATTATAAATAATTATTTTTCCTTATTTATAACACTTTTTTTGAAAATTACCATTTTTTTTTCTTCTTTTTGTTACATAATTCAGCAGATTTTAAAAATACTATAGTATACTATGGTGTACTATGTTGTTATATGGTGTACTATCGTTTTTACACTATTATTAAAAAAACAATTCTACAATATTATTAAAAATTACAAAACTAAACTTGTTTTTCGTTTTATATATATATATATATATATATATATATATATATATTTAATATTTTATTTATTGTAATACTATAGTAGACTATGGTACGGTATACTACGGTATTCTATGGTAACAAACCCTAGCAGCCAACAACACACAACCCTAGCCGTCAACGCAGCAACCTTCAAACCCAAGCGGCCAAGATCTGCAGCCGTCGCTCCCGTAGTCACCTACCAACTGTTGGAAAACCTAGATTTACGATTTTGAACCCAAATCAACCAAAATCTCTTGAAGATCAAGATCAAATCTCCTCCATAACCATATCTCCGCCGCCACAACCACCACAACCCCTCGCCGCCATCTCGACCACCACAACCCACCGGCTTGACCACCACAGCCCCCTGCCGCCGCCTCAACCACCACAGCCTCCGCCGTCGCCTCGACCACCACAATCGCTCGCCGCCATCTCGACCACCACAGCCCGCCGCGATCTCGACCACCACAGCCCGCCGCCTCGACCATCACAACTCGCCGCCCCGACTCAACCACAACTTCTATACTTCTGCTCTTTAGATCCTCTGATCTCGTATCTTTAATCCTTCTTTAATTTTTGCAATTTCACACGTTTGCTAGTTTTCTCAAAAGAATTATTTTCCGTCTTTGAGAGAGTGTGTGTTACGGTTGAGAGAAAAGGGGTGGGTGGGGCGGCGGAAAAATTAGGGTGAGGAGAAAGAGATAAATGTGATTTTTTATTAATTATATTAAGGGTATTTTCGGGTTAAATTAAAATCAAAGGATGTGGTTCAAATTTTATTTACAAATAAGGATTTAGTTAAACTATTCTGTTTGAGGTTGTCCCCCATATCTAATTAGGTTAGATTTAAGGGGTGTCTAACATATTACCCCTAATATTTAATACAATCAAATATTTGCTTGTTGAGTACTTGAAAATAAGAGCATTAAACAATGTCACAATGGATAAATAATTAGTGTTTCGAGAACAAAGAGAAACAACAAAGGTGGATATTACTTAGTGTTTCGAGAACAAAGAGAAACACCTGCAACAAGTTACGCAATGGCATGGCGAAGAAGTTAGTTTATGTGCCAAACCGAGGCTGCAGAGAGTAGATTGGAGAATGAAACTGATTCAATCCTTACGATAGACAGTTCAATAATAAGTTATTATTTTATTTTTTTCAATCGGGCACAGAGATAATTTACCAACTCTGTCATAGTATTTTGGTAACTGTTAATTCAAGGGATTAGTTGTAATTAAGCAAAAATGAGGGTGTTTTTATAATTTGAACTTACCTATATATACATGTATCACTCACATTTCACCACTAAAATACCAATATCATAAAAAAGATCGCTCCTCTATAGTCTTGCAGAACCTCTCTCTAGTCTACGGCCTATTCAACTTTTAATGGTCGACCGATCACCCGATTATGTGAAGTCAAGAAACAATGTTGTATCCACCATTATTATGAAATATGCATCCACAATAGATGTGCCATGAATGATAGTACGTTCATGATATCTCGTGAAATTTCCCACATTATATCTTTCATCACAAAGTTTGTATATCAATTTTGAGAGAATATGTTGCAATAAGAATCATCGAATCCGATGTTCGATATTAATACAATAATATATATGTTCCTAAAGTATGTGAATAAGATCATAAAGCAAGTGTCATATGGTAGAGTTGGATATGATCAAGTTAATTAGTGTTCTGGACCAATTTTGGATGAGTGGCTGCATATATCGAATAGTTCACGTCAGCTGTTAGGTGCCTGAGAAGATGTTGTACATCCGGACGTAGGTTTTCAATTGCTCTTCCAATAAGAACAAGGACTTCGGCTCTCGGTTTGCTGCTTGCTTGAACAGGTCCGCCTTGTCCTTCGTAATGGACAATATGATGCCTAAAGAAAAACAGCCCCTTTTCAAGTATTAGCCATCAATATTAAAATTAAAATTAAAATATCTAACGTTTTTTTTTTTTGCAATCACAAGCTTACAAATAATCTATGATATCGGCTATCTCTGATGCTTCAATAGGTGCCGATGGCTGTGAATTCCTCCCAAAGACATCACTTATGACATTTAGAAGCACCGATAGTATCTGCAAGATGATGATGAAATGTAATTGTGCTAAACAATATCATCTGATAATTGTACGAGAATTGTCAATAAAAAACGCCTATCATCGACGATTCATGTATTTGTTTGTATATCATATATTCTATCGATCCGAATGATTGTACATTGTGTCACTATGATTGTGTTATTTATGATACCAAGGTGGTTTACTTTCACAGAAACTAAGAGAGAGACTCGTATAAACATTTTTCGTGGAGAGATTACACTCCCCAAATATAAATATATATTACATTACCTTACTGAAGAGGGTGTGAGCATTGGCCAATCGGGGAAGCAAAGGACCCATAATACGGAAGGCTATTCTCAATCCAGCTATTGAGGTCACCGGTCTGAGATGCTTAATAATGACATGTGTTCCCTCTAGCCACTCCACCGGAAGGTTACTGAAGAAAGCATGTAGCAATGCCACAACATTTCCTATATAAAATCGTACATGGAAACCTCAGCTCAAATCATCTACTCCGAAATGAAAATTGCCGGCAGAAATTCAGTCTAAGATAAAGATTAAAATTATGTCTAGAAAACCAACATAGATTCCTATCGATGTTGCCACTAGTAAAGAAAGTAGTGAGATAGTGTTTGCAAAAGCTTATGCAAAATCATAAGTTAGTGATTGTGACTTAAGTTAGTATTCAATGCTTATGTCTAGAAGTTGGGGGTGGCGTTTGCAAATACGCTGGAAAATTACCAAAATAGCTTCTAATTATTTACAAAAGTACCATTATATATATATAAAAAAAAGGGGTGCTTTTCAAACTATAACTTAAAGCAGCTTACTTTCAGAGAAGCAAAAGCAAAAGCTAATATTGAAACCAAAAATTATTTATGAGCCAAAAAAAAAGATCAGAATATGTTTCTAAAAGCTTTTGCAAACACCACCTGAGAGAAATTTCAGTAACTATTTATATAACAGAAAAGTGAAATGGAACAGTAGCATACCTATGGCAGTAGAGGTATTGTCCTGGGCAGCCCATGTGGGGTCCAGCAAAGCGTAGCACACAGCAGATTCCAGCTCACCGACAGATCTTTTCCCATCGGTAAGCCACCAACTCTCTTTTATTACACGTGCCGCCTCTATATACAGCTGAACGTGAAACTCCTGAGGCAGCTGAGCTAAAAGCAGACCACAACCTTGGATCAACAAACAGGATAACTGCTGACATGTGTAACCGCTCCGCCAAACAAAGTTAGAGTTACTCAATCCCGACCCTGAACTTGGAGCCCTATTTGCTGCACCACCCAATGAATCGGTGCTACCCCCAGATGGAGAAGTTGGCAGCACAGAGCTTTGGCCAACTGTAGTGGGATGCAATCCACTGCTTGACTGAACTAAAGTCGGTTGTATGTGAACGACAATTTGAACGAGTGACGACACAATCTGGGTAGCGGTTACTGGAAGAGAGAGGAGTTCTATGACAGCTGTTTCAAGAATCAGCTGTGTGTTTGTGCCGGGATCTTGAATTTGGTAGAATGGTTTCTGACCTTCACCTTGAGCCTTGTTATGTGGCGGCGGTCGGACAGGACAGTTTAAGGTTTCTCCCGCTTGTCCGTTTTTTGAGTTATTCAGAGGTGGAATCACATGATTCACCAGACCAAGTAGAAGAGTTGCAAAGTAGTCCAATGGAGGGCAAATGGAGGCATTAGATGAATTTATATGCTGAGGGAAGGACTCGGAAAATGGGATCTGAAAAAAGAAAAAAGAAAAAAGAAAAAACAGAGATGAATAAGAAAGACTGCGATAACCAACCCTCACTAGGAGAGTTAGTACCTAGCCTCTACTATTAGAGTAGAGATCTAGGGTTCAAATCCTGCCATTCCCCTATTTTTCCAATTTGTAACAGAATTTGAATTATATAAAAAAAAATAAAGCCTGCGAGAAATAATTGGAAAACTTTGTGGGGTGAAGAGTTGTCGTCACCTTTTTCACGTCTAATACATTCAATATGCGAAGAATAAGTTTCCCTGGAAGATGACCATAGAAATAGGCGAGTATGTCCCGCACAAATGTAAAATTCAAAGGATAGTAATGAAGGAATGTTGAATAAACTTGAAGAACTCTGTCGGCAGCATCGATTGCGTCGTTTTCGATTAGCCTATAGATGATTAGGGGAATCACTGGGAGCAATCTTGCTGCAATATCATCAAAAAATGTTGGATACCTGGTGACAAAAAATGTATCAGGATACTGTGTAAAAATGTGCAATCGCGTCGGAATATTTCAGTATGAATTGATTATATACGATATATGTAGCATGGCAAACTTAGCAGTGATTTAAAGGATTACTATAGAAAGTAACAGAGCTACAGAACTCAGAATGCAATAACTAAAAAAACAAATAGATGTGCAACTATTGGCAAAAGCTACAAAGAGAATGCTTCTTTCGCAATACCGGAACTTTAAGAGCTGAATTGAAGAATTTCAGATTTATTTTCCTCAAATGTGAGAATCACAATTATAATAACAATTTTCTGATTTATTGCGAAAGAGCAATAAACCACTAACTATAAATTAACCACTAATTGGCTAAAAAAGTATGTGAATAAATATAAGTTATTTAATTCCCCTAAATTCCAGAAACTAGATTTTGACATCTCCACCAAATTAATTGTGTTTTTTTTTAACAAAAGGTTTTAGTGTCGAGGATATCACCTGTCCTTCCACGAAAGATGATTTCCAAGGGCCTTATGCAATTCAGTACGCTTGAAAGTTCCGGAGAAAAGCCAATGCTCAGGTGGGCCACGATTCATAAGATACAGTTTGACTCTTTGTTGGAGCTCTTTACTGTCAAGTATATTTATCTTCCAAGAAAGAAAAAATGGTGAGAGATCGAATGAGTCCACCAAATGTGATTGTTGCATTACAAAAATGTATATGAAATCGCATTAATCAAGTGAACCACCAGAATAAAAGAGAAAAGGAAGAAAAAAATGATCGAGATATTATGACACAATTTCATAGGTATTCACAAATTAACTTCAGCAACAGTGCACCTCATAACTGACAGTAAAACATCTTTACGTATTAATGCACGGAGTAAGAAGCTAATAGTAAAGAAAACATACCACTATTCGCAAAGCATTGGGATCGTCATCACGGTCAATAAGTGCTAATAGTAAAATGTCTAAAGGCAATAGCTCATGCGTCCAAATGAAGAAGGCAAGGTTGGCACATACTTTTAGCACAAGTTCCTGAAGGAGAAAAAAAATGGAGAACCTCGAAATATCAAAAAACACACGAGGCTGCTTCAAAAAATGTTGCAGAATACAGTCTGGAAATTTGAAAATAAATTAGCTTAAGGAGAAATTACCTGTAAGGAACGTCCACGCTGCAGTTCTACATTCAAGTGATGCAATAGGACATCCACCATTGTGTATATATTGGCAGTAACTTCTTCAGGCGAAAATTCATTCAGGACACGACCCTATTTATCGACAAACAATCACACACATATATATATATATATATATATATATATATATATATATATATATATAGAGAGAGAGAGAGAGAGAGAGAGAGAGACTTACAAGATGCAAACTGTTAATGCTCTCGGGATGGCTGTACATAAGTACCCATACACCAGCACAAAGATATTGCCGGTGCTGAGGAAAACTGTGATTAACGTACGTAACAACATACGTTGGATCAGCAGATGCAGAAAGAAGCTGGGTACATTGATTAATCACAGTTGTTTCTGCCTGCGAATAATGATAAATGTTTTATAACTATGTAAATCGTGTCAATGGAAAGTATTAAAAAATCTATGTAGTGGTTTTTCTCCATTTTTATGACCGGTTTCTCAGAGTTAAAGGCAAAGCAGCTGCGGACATTCCTTCAATCAAGTAAATGAGTAACATGTTGTTCATTCTTTTGTTCTTGGTCATTTACCTATTTTTCAGTTGAAGTTGTACGACTAAATCAAAGAGGTATCTCTTGCAGTCTACTTCATGAACCAAGACAATAAATAGTTATTACCACCCAAATTGAGACGTATTTGATACTAATTTGCAACAAATAATGTTCTGACATAGATAAACCCATGTCTTCTTATCACTCTTTTTCACCAAATAATCATAAATGTAATGTTATTATTCCACATGGCACTACAAGAGTGTAATGCAATGCTCCATTCTACATAGCATCACAAAGAAACATATGAGCTTATAACGCATAAGATGAAAGTGTTCGATGGTTAGTAGCC